AAATTTAATAAAAATTTTTTTAAATAAATTCTACAAACTTATAAAATTTATTTAAAAAAATTTTTATTAAATTTGATTAAGTTTTGGTTAAATTATTAATGTATAAAGTTTTAAAAAAATTTAATAAAAATAATTTGCTTGATTTCTATTGACTCACCCCCATTTATTTAGCAGATATCACATAGAGTTAAGGTTAAGTATTTGATTAGTTGCAGGTATATATTTTTACTAAATTTCACCAGGCGTGATGTCAGCTAAATGAGCTATTGGTGAAGTGATTGTTGGTGAAATAATACAGACCCAAAAACCGTATGTAGATAGGTATATTAAATAAAATTGTTTAGTATTTAATTTTATATATAACTACATATATTCTAAATCTTACACTAATTTTAATATATGTAGGGCACTATATTAGCCTTATACTGGGTATTGCACCTAATTTTAATATATATAGGGCACTATATTAATATTATACTGGGTATTTGTACCCTACGTGTAATGATAGTTGGGTACATATTATTTTATAGAAAATTATTTCATAAACATTTTATTTTATAGACAATTGATTTATATATATATAAACAATTTATTTCATGAACAATCTTTAATATGAATAACTTCTATTAGTTTTTTTTGAATAATTTAATTACCAAAGCGATTGATTTGATAAGATGATTATTTTGATAATCAAATTATCCAAAACAAATTAATAAATTAAAAGTTGTTCACTGTTATAAAGATTATTTTTAAAATAACTGTCTATAATGTAATGTAACATAATTAACTTCAAAATGAACTTATCTATGAATTGATTGTCTATGAAATAAAATATTGGGAAATGATTTTTTATAAAATGATACGTACTCATGATGGTCAATTCTTATTTAATTTAACCAATTTTAAACTAATAATGTTATACCAATTTAACTCTATGAAAGCTTTTAACATATTCATTTTCTCATGAAGTGGACCAGATATTAAAAGAATTTCCAGATAGTTATTTTTAAATTTTTGCGTATAATGGTAAGGAATTCTATCACAAACCACTGCAATCCATTTTTGTTCACCTTTGTTAATTCCGCTAATTTCTTTAATATGATCTAGAACTTTTTGAACATTAGCAATAGAATTTAGGTTTATGGGCAAAGGATCTGGAACAAGAATTTCAGGTATAATAACATTGTTTTGAGATTCGGATATTTGAGTTATACTAAGTGGATTAATTAAATTTGTAGAATTTTTAGAGGCATTCGCTTCGGGATAATGAAATTTAAAAATTAAAGATTTGGTCATATCCTTTTTTTAGATATCGTTTGGTCAATTTCTTGTTGAATTTCAGTAATTGTAGGAAGTTTCGTATTGCATTGAGGGCATTTACACTTAGAATTATCAATATTATCTTTACCACACTCATGGCACCATTTTTTTTATCTATTTTTGTTTTTTGATTCATAATTAAATTATCTATAAAATTTATATTTCATTTTTTCAATGCATGCTTCAGTTAAGATAATAGAAAGGTAATCGTGAAGTTGCTGATCAATTAATATTTCTATTTCAGAAGTGATATCGAATAATTGCTCAATTTGCATAGTATTAAGAGTTTTATGTAGCCAAGGATTTTTGATGTTTTGTATTTGGTTAGTAGAATCAAAATTAAATAAAACTAAACTAGTAACAGTATATATTATAGCCACGGTCTAAGTAGTTTTTTTTGGCTTTTTTGCTCGTTATCAAATGCCATAACGATTAACCTATTTGGAAAAGGTTGTGATTCACTCGCTAAATTTTCTTGCCATTTGATGAATTTAGTAAAACTACCAGAACTTATAAAATTGTTATCAATATTAACGATCGATTTAGACCTTGCCATGGAATATTTAATTGCTGATACTATCACTAACACATATTTTAGATATCATGTTTCATAAATTACATTGACTGCTACAGCACATTTAAATAACTTCTCGCCTGTGAATTGATTTTCATTTTCATTTTCATTACGAGTAAGAAATTCTATAAATTTTACAATAACTGGATTTCGTTTACTAAGCCAACAAGAAGGAGAATAATTTAAAAGACTATCTAAATAAAAACGATTATGATCTTCCATCAAATTAGTTATATCTTCATATAAATTATTTCGCTCTTTTTTGGCAATATCAATTATAGCTTCGATACGATCTTGCTGACTATTAAATCTTTCTTTTAATTTTTTTTTTAATAACTCATTTTCAGATAATAACTGTCTATTAATACGTTCTAGCTCGTTAATTTTTATTAAAAGTTTATTATATTTAGGATCAGGTAAAGATACTTGAACTTCGAAATCACAAGAATTATGCAATTTATTATTTTTTTTTCTAAGTCTAGAAAAATTTGATTATTTGCTATTAATTTATTAAGCAAAGATGTTTTAGCAATGAGGTTATTATAATGTGTTTGGCATAGGGAGTAATTATTTAAAGAATCAAGTAATAAATTTAATTCTGAAAAATATTGGGCCAAAATTGTAATTTTCTTTGTTGCTACCATAGATGATGCATTTCTCCATCTTTGCTTTTCATTAATTCCACATTTTAATAGATCATTATTTGAATATTTAGTAGCAAGAAAAATGAATATACAAGGTAAATCTATAGCTTTTGTTTCTGAAGTAACATCTGTTTGTGAAGTCATCATTACTTATTAATGTGTATAGTTAAAAAATAAAAATAGTTTGCGAAGACTTGTAGATATACTTATAATATACATTTATTTGTCTTATAAATTTCTTTTTACAATTCAATTATCGCTATTTTGAACTAGTGCGATAAATAAATTTTGTAAACTCTGCATGTTATTATTGTTTTAGCAACAATAGTAATATGCTGAATTCATCAAATTCATTTATCGCGCTAATTCAAAAATAGCTAATATAATTGCGAATTACAAATATTCCAACTTCAAGTTTGACTAGCATCAAACCTAATCAAATTATCACCAGAGCTGACAGTAATGTTTTTTCGCATTTATGAACTGATAAATTTAGTGTAGTTGCTATTCTACGGATATCTAATGGCAAATTTTACTATGCCAAAGTTGATGTAATGCCTACAAATTATTAGGATATTGCATAAGCAAATTATTTAGTATTACTTTCATTACTATGAATTTCAATGATAAAAATATTTATTACAAAGTACTTACTAAGACGATTGAACTATATAACTTGAACCAAAATCAGTAAATCGAGGAAAATTGAAAAAAAGATCGAAAATGAGATGAATTTGAATATGAAAAATATACACTATACTGCAAAATCACAATGGTATTATTTTATGTCTATATATGTTATTTTGAGTTAAGTATCAATTGAGTATGCCTATGCATATTATAATGAGGTGCTTCATTTTGGGGAACTATTTTTATAATATCTCTACCAAAATTTTATGGTATAGCACAAATAAGAGATAAATCGAAATAACCCTCATTTATATATAATAGCAAAATATTTAAAGGTAAATTTTAGTAAGCTTGAACTGCTAAAATCAACAAGAACATTGTTGTTAATTGGGCTAATTGGACCCAATAATTAGATCAATTGAACACGTTCCAAGTGGTCCGATTTTCGAGTTTAATTAGTCCAATTGACAAAACTAACAAGAATGAAATAAACCTGCCATTGAAATTATATAACACAAAGCAAAATAATCTAAATTAATAACCTAAAATTCTAAAATAATTGGTATGTAAGTAAATTTAAAGGAACTTAATGCATAACTAAGGCAAACAGAGAAACTTCTCTAGGTGCACCTCTTCAAGTACACGACCTTTTTAATTGCAATAAAATTTAGACCCGAATATATACTGGACCTCTACAAATGCACTTTTCTTATAGTTCTCTAAGTGCACATTATTAAAGTCAAGCCTCTATAGTGTGCATTTAAAAATATCTAACTATATTTTACGTTTGTTAGTCGTAGCAACATGTACCTTTTTAACTCAAAAATTAGCATACTTCTTTGTATAGCTACAAAATAATTACCTTATAAATCATCATGGATCCCCGTGGATCCTGAATCTACACGTCAAAAATATATTAGAAGCGGCTTTTTCTTTTTTTTTTTAACTCAAAGAAAAATTTTATGTAACGGATTGTGTGTCTTTAACATATATAATTTGTTCTAAAAAATTCGTTAGTAGATCGTCAATCAATTGCTATATTTGGTAATATCTGCAACTGTAGTATTAAATTTATTGACATGATATAGCTGGTGTTAACCTTATGATATGCTATTGCGCATTTTATTATTTAATATAAATACTATTGCTATCAAACTGATTATACTTTAATGGATAAGATTTACTAGTACTAGAACTAATACCATGTACTAGTTCTAGTACAGTATTAAATTAAAATTATCTGTTAATTTTTAAAGTTAACTACTTTATTAAATATTATT